ATAACCAATGACATATAAAACCTTCTAGCACTAACTGTTCTCTTGTTTTAAAACTTGGTTTACCCTCCTCAAAATTTGGCAAGTCTTTATATTTTAACCACTTCATTTTCCCACATTTTCTCATCTAGTAAATGCTTCCTGAGGTGACAACCACAAAGGTACATTAGGAGACAATCTTACCTTATATTTATTCCAGATCTGCAGTAAGGTATTCCTAATATAGTGGTTTTTTAAAATCCTTATTAACTTTAACTTTATCATACCACAAATAAGCATGCTATCTGAATCTTAATTCATGACCTTCAAGTTGTAATAATCCTTTGTTTTCCAAGGTTATCCAATCCTTCATCCAAAGCAAACAATAAGCATCAAAATACAATTTTAAATTAAGCAGACCCAAACCTCCTCATTCCTTGGCATCTTGTAACAATTTATATTTAATTCTTGGTTTTTTGCCTTGTCAGATGAACTTAGATGTATCTCTCTGCCACTGTTGGAATGGTAAATCTGTAGTCAAAATCAGTATAGTCTGAAAAAGAAATAACATCCTAGGCAAAACATTCATTTTAATCACAGAGATTCTCCCCATGAGAGACAATTGTAATTTCATAGTGTGATTTTTCATGACCACTATGGTATGATGGCTCAAATATTTTTAGGAATCAGGTGAAAGAAGGCAAAATGGATATGGCAAAAACAGCAAGATTTATGATTATTTATAGGATTTCAATAGTGAGATTGCAGAAAGTTCACAATTTCTTCATTTGGAATATACATTTGCCAGTTCATAATGCTGTAATATTCTTCTTCATCTTGGAATATAAAAGAAGATTGTAAGCAGGTATAGAGTGTACTTTTTTGGTTTGTTTTGACCATGTCACAGTTCAGATAGGGAACATTACCTTCCAAAAGAATTGTTTAAGTCTTCAGAAATCTTTGAACAAGCTAGGAATCTCCAGATTCTAGAAAGAATGGGATTTGGGCAATTCCACAAGTTCACATTAAAAAATTGCCTATGAGCCTGTATAAAACCTGACCTTTCAATATTAAGAAGTTCTCTGTCTATGACCACCACCTTCTCCCTCCCTCCTTTCTTGTACATCTACTATTCAAAATCTGCTGAGAAGAGATAAAGGATGTTAGACTCTGTGTTGACTCAAAGCTGAAATCGAAACATTCTAAACCATATTTAGATCCTATTGAATGAAGTAAAATTTACTTCCAGGAAGACCAGATGAGAACTGAGTTGTATCTGTACTTGTTTACTGGTTCAAGCTCTGTTTTGGCATTTAGTATGCCCATGTAAGGGTTAAAATGCTGGTGGAAGGAAGTATGTACAGGGAAGCTGCAGCTTCATACCTCTGGGCATGCAGTAGCTTTTGAAGATGTTGAGTGTTGACACTGGAGAAGATACATATACAGTACATGTATTCAGTTGTGAGAACTTTTGTATGAATCTTCATCTAAATGTGTTTGTGAATTCTTGGTGGATGTTAACTTTCATCGCACAAATATTTGTAAAGGATGCAACAATTTGGCTGTTTGCAAAGTGTGGCTTATATATTTGCATGTCTTTGCCACACTACTAAGGATGTGCATGTTTTCAAAAAGATTCAGTCCTTGTGCAGTCACAGGCCCTCTCTGTAATTCATTTAGGTAAACCATGTTTTCAAAGATAAGCCTGAGAAAGTAATTGCTTTAAAGTAATTGCTTTAAAGAGTGTATTCATTCAGTTAATATAGCTCCTAAAGCTATATTATTTTCAGAGTCCTGTGGAAACTTGAGAAAAGAGAGGCTGCTTTAATGAATAATGGAGAGGTGCTGTGTTTGTACTTGTGTAAAATCCAAATCCCTTTTTCCAAATCATTTTTCAAGCATGCAAAGCCCTACTCACTTATTTCTCAGACTTTGCAGACAATCTTGTTTGACTGAATTCTTTGTAAATTGAGATGTAAAAGCATGTTATCTTCTTCTATATTTGTTTTTACTTTGCCATAAGACTGGTTTATTCAAATCTGGGCAAGTATTTAATTTTAGATTTATATTCAGCCATTTGTTAGGACATGTATCATAAAGTGGAGTAATAGAAGCTATCTGGTGCTATCCCTGTATTACTAGGATTCAACTTAAAAAAGGAAAAAAAATAACAGTTCTCAATAGTCTGAAGTCTGTGCACTCTTGGTATTAAAACCAAAAGCATATTGAAAATGTAAAAAAAAAAAAAAAAAGTGAAAGTATGAATAAGAAGGCTGCCTGCTGATTTTTGTTGAATATTTTGCTGCTAGTAATTCTTGACTAAAAATGTAAAAAAATATTAATTGGTTTATCAAAAGAAAGAATAAATTAAGTTGTCCTTTTTTGACATCAGGAATGAAAATGATAGCAAAAGGCAGTGCTCTTAGCCAGAACATTTTAAAGTACTATTTCCATTTTATATTACATTTTTTAAAAAGGCTAATAAGCACTAAAAATACATGCTTCATCCAGGCATGTCAAACCTTATCTCTTTCATTCCCACTTTAATTACTTTAAACCTTGAGGACAATCATCCAGGGATAATTAGGAATTAATATGAAAGAGTACCCTGTTTTATAAGTGTAGCCTCTCAACTAAAAGTTTTACCTACCTGGGACTAAAGTACCTTGAACGCTTGAATATGGTTTTCTCCTTCTTTTTCTTAATTTTTAATTATACTAAAACAGAAGCTGCAATACTTTTACCCACTCTCACTGAATACCAAATATATTTCAACTTTACAAAACAGTCATGTATCCATGAAACAGCAAATTCCTGTTAGAATTCATATGAGGCATACAGTTGCTTCAAAATGTGTTTCTAGCGCATAGGGGTCCTCTGAAATGTCTCAGAAGTGGCACATCACACTAAGCAAAAATGTGTTTTTTTTATTGACTTAATGCAATAAAGTAAATAAACAGTGGTTTCCTTTAGGCTAAGTAAAGTTTGAAACCTCTGTTTGAAACCACTGTTTATTCTTTGGTTCCTGATTACAAATGTACCTCAGTATGATATGTGAGGGGCACACAGTTTGTATCTGATTTCCTAGCTTATTCCTGGTTCGCTCTTCAGTATGTCTAAGCTTCAAACTGGTCTACAGCTGCAGCAGAAGCTAAAAAGGTTGGAAAGCAAATAAGACATAAACCATGACTATTTTGCCTGAGGACTAGAATGTAAGAAGGTTATATCAGGATGAGATCAGAATTCTAACTAGTCCTACACAATTTTCCCACAGTGACCATAGAGATATAATCAAGCTACAGGAAGTTCACAGATAAGATATGTATACTTATATGTCCTGGCAATAGTGCACGGGGAGACAATGCGTACTGGAGCTGTAATGTTATCCTCTCCTACCTTTGCAGTGTGTATGATACAAGTCCATGGATCGCATGAAACACATCAGTTTTGTGAGGAAGATGATTTTAATCAGGAAAACCATGCAGTAGGAAATCAAAAATACTTCCCCTCTGATGGGAAGTAGAGAAGAGGGAAGTAATATAGCTTATAGCAGTTAAAAATATTTATCCATCTAACCTATTATTTTCTACTTTGTCAGGCAGCAGCTTTCCCAAGTATCAGGCAGATACATTTTCTGTTATTGGCAATCGGATTCTTTCAATTTGAGATGCCAGAACCAAACATGGGAATTTCTGTAGAAAAAAAACATATGTATTACTGCTGAGATATAACCCAGGGAGGGTAACTATGATTAACACATTTAAATCGATGAAGGACCCTAATTATAGAGATACTATTTTATCATTTGGTTTAATGAGGTTCACTCTGATCAAGATTGCAAACCCTCATTTAGAGCTGCAAGCACCCAAAATACCACCTTTAAGTCCATATAAATAATACTTACATCATACAGCATAATATAAGTGGGTACAGATGATAGCCTTTTCTACTGATTCAATTTATATATTTATGTATATATTATTTTTAGTTACATGACGGATGGAGGGCTCAATCTCTATACGAGAAGTTTGAATCGGATTCCTGACATAGCTACCTCTCGAGATGTCATTCAAAGAGGAATTCACGATGTGACAGTGGATGCAGACAGGTAAAGCCTTTTTTTTCTATACAAAAGTCAAGAATGTCAAATTACTACCAAGGTTTGGGAAAGTTATTCAGGGCAATTAATTTTCACATGAATTAGAAATATTTGGATCAGTAGTTGTAGGCTAGGTAGCATTAAAAAATAATGGCAAAAAACTGAGCTAGAGCTGGAGATTTGAATGAAGACTATTGTGTATTCTTGAAAGACACAATGCCCCCCAAAGCCTCTTGTATCATCCACCAGTCACTAACAACCAAAATGACTGGTAATGTTGTGATTTATCAAGTGCTGCAAGTAAATTGGCCTGTAGAGTACAAAGGCAGAGCAGCTGCCTAGCAATAATGCCAGCACTTAAGAATTTGTTCTTGTATATCAGATGGTGATTAGAAATAACACATTTCAGCATAACAGAATTTAAAATAACCTTCGTTTGTGTTGTATTTTATATTCTTTTCTGTTGTGTACATGTAGATTATGAAGTACTTGTGCTTGTGGAGTGCAGCCCACTGGCTAGTGTTTACAATGGAACTGTGGCCTTCAAATTTCAAATGGTTTTCCACTCCTTGACCAAGTTCCTATGCCATCTGTTACTGCAGAGACAATTTGACAGTACTGCCAACTTCAGCTCAGGCTAATCCAAACAGCTTTTTCATCCAAATCATAATCAAAAGAATACTTTATCAAAAAATATGAAATGGATTCTGAGTCCATGATAACATGTTAAGTAGCTTCTGAACTCCATCAAGTCCTGATTAGTATGTACTTTAGCAAATAGATGGATCTACCTTAGCTACCTAGGGTAGAACAAGAATGAGTAGAAGTTTTACAGAGGGTGATCCAAACTTGAAATAAGGAGGAATTTCCTGACCGTAAGAGCTATTAAGCAGTGGAACAGCCTGCCCCCTGGAGCTATGGGTGCTCCATCACTAGGTTGAGCAGCCATTGGTCTGAGATGATGTCAGGATTCCTGCCCTCCAAGATCCCTTCCAACCCTGTCATTCGGTTTTTGCCATGCACATTTTCTGTTTTTTCTTTTTAAAAAATCACTGAAATGACTTGGACTTTCTTAATATAGTCTTAAATCTCCATTTAATAAATGCTATTTCCCTCCACCTTGTCATTGCTGAATATCTGGGTCTCATCCTTCCCTGTTTCCATTAGATTTTGATATACTGTAGTTGCTGTGCTGTTCTCAGTTTGGACAAGACTAGCAATTTTCTGTGACTTTTTCAGTAATGATTGTCACAGTACATATCCAGCAGATGCATGTTAATAAAACTAGGACAAGATGAAAAGGTAAATCCACTCATTTGTCAATTAATAATTTAATCCAAAATATTCCAAAGAATATACAGGTATATTTTTCTGATGATTTAACCCTCAGCCTTTATTACATATAAGTATTTATGTATTTATTTTATTAGATTTAGGCACTGCCTGACTCCAAAATGACTCTGGATCACTCATAATATGAAACAAATAACAAAATAAAAACACAATACAATATAAATAAACAAGAAAGTGTTCAAACAATGAATATATAACATATACAAAAACTTATCCAACAAGGGGGTCCCATCTATTCTATCACAAGGCCTGGAAGCCAGGTTTTCAAGATCTTCTGGAACAACATCAGGGTGGGAACCACATGGATCTCAGGAAGGATCATAAACATAATTAATGCCACTGATTTTTTTTTGTGCCAGGGCAATGAGCCAGCCTAGAAAGAGCAAGTTAACAGTTTTGCCTTAGTACAATATTTTAAAGGTCAAAATCCTGTGCATCTTTTTTTTTAAAGCTAAGATCCACCAAAAGAAAGAGAGCATGAAGAAATTAAATACAGACCACATTTCTATTTCAAATAGCTGATAGCCAGGATTGTCATTTTCAAAGGATTTCACCCAATTTTCACATCCCAATTGCCTATGGTTGAAGCAGTGTATATGTAACTTAAATTTGGAATTATTTATCATGTCATACTTCTGTACTTATAATTTGGACATTCATTATGTAAAATTATACCTCAGAATGGTTGGAGATTGAAGGAAAAAATGAGACAAAGAGACTAAAACACCTCTGGAGCACAGCCTAGTGTGGAATAGTTTTGGGACATTGGAAAATGAAGGCTCAGGCATATCATAGACAAGAAAAGTACTATTGTGCTTCAACAATCAAATAGACCGGCACTAAAATCACAGGATTTCAATTTGTTATACCTGAAGTCTCCTTTGTACTGAGACTGTTGACTTTCTGGACCAGTCCATGCAGTTGCTTAAATATATTTGAAAAGAGATTGCACAGGGGGTGAGCAAACAGCAAAGCTACCTTATCCATGAAAATATATCATGCAATTGCTTTATTGTGTAAATTTCAAAGAAACTGGAGCCTTCATATTTCTAATTTCTATCTCCTTGTACCAATTGGAAAGACTATCCTTTTGAGGATTTTCTGGTGCATATATTTAATTTATAGCCTCTATAAAGAAAATGTTTTTCTTCTCTCAAACCTAAAATATTGCATTTAGTTTTGGGCCCACATTTTAGGAAGCAATTGAAAAATTGAAGCACGTCCGGAGAAGAGCAATCAAGACAGTAAGGAACCTGGAAGGAAAAACCTATAACAGTTGGAGGTACTGGGTATGTTTAGCCTGGAGAAGAGAAGCCTGCAGGAATATATTATAGCTGTCTTTCTTCAACTATTTGAAGGGTTTTGTTTAATTAAACTCTCTCTGTCTGTGTATGAATTAACAGAGAAAGAATTATTATGATAAATAATGAAAGTAAAGAGATGCTTATCTCTTTGCATCTGGTGCTCTTTCTATCCCTTATATTTCTAATTTTGCAGATACTGAAATTCTTAATAATATAGGTATCCTGTTCGTTGCCTTGGTTTTTGCTTCACTCCCATGTTTTGCCTTTAAATAGCTCAAGAGTACTTGCCGGGAACTAGATTTTTTTTTTTAATGTTGATTATAGTTGGGAGAAGATATAAAAGAATGAGATTCATTTGTAACTCATTATTGCAGGAGAAAATTTCAGTCTGTACAGTATAGCAGGCTGTCTTAATAGGCACAGTGCTTTAAATACACCTGCCGAGCATGCATTTTCTCTGATTTCACTGCAGCTAATTCCAGGAAGAAAACAGATCTATACATAGACTGCTTTTAATTAGACCTGTAATTTTGTAGAAAATTTGTGACCATTTCCTACGTTGATTTTCATTTCACTTTGCATAAAGATTTTATGCAGCTCTACTTTCTGTGAAGATATTTTATTATTTTAGTTTAGTCTATGGACACAATGAGTTCCTGAGGTCTTAAATGTTTCAGTGCCATTCAACACCAAATGCTATTAGCAGCATAAATGATACTTTGATTAGCCCAGAAGTAGCAATATATTTTTAATTTATTTTTATTTCATTTACACCTCCATTTTTCTACTCTGGTGAGTACTAAAGACATCTAACAACATTTTTTAAAAAGAATATAATTTAAAACACTGTTTAAAATAAACAATAACATAGTTCCTAAAATAATTTAACAATCTAAAATATGACAAGAGTTGTGTCTTTGCAGATTTTGTAAATACTGAAACATCAGGGGCCAGATACAACTCTTTTTGACAGAAAGTTAACTTCTAAAGGGCCTTTCCTGCAGATTTTAATAGCCACTCAGTTAAGTAACAGAGAAGCAATGTCTTTGATATTTCCTTAACCATTCAGGATTTTAAAAGGAATTACAAGCACCTTGAACTTTGCCTAGTAGGCAGGTCGCAAACATTTTTCAGAATCATATGATTGTGGTAGCTTGCATAGGTTAACATCCTGGCTGCTGTTTTTGTACCAACTGCAACTTCTAAACAGTTTTCAAGTTGGTGTGTAACATGTAGTAATCTAGAAAGGGTGTAGATAGGCATATAATATCTGACCATTTCAGGAAGGGGTGCAACTTACACATGAGAGGTAATTATGCAAAGTTACTCTTCATCATAGTCACCACCTTCAAATCCAGTGACTGCTGAGGAACTAGGAGCACTCCCAGACTGTGAAAATGTTGTTTCATGGAAAGTACAACCCCATCCAAAATAGACTGAATCTCAGACACCAGAACCCTATTTCTTAATTACCAGAATACCTCTGTTTGTGTGAATTTAATTTCAGCTTGTTTCCCCTCACCTAGTTCAGTATCAAACTTAGGCAACATTCAATGGTACTGATTGCGTCCTTGGAACTGAATGGTGAGGATCAATAACAAACTCCAAAATTCCATGGGATTTCCCTTAGTGATTTCATATAGAGTCAGTATTGAATGGAATGAGGAACATGATGGAACCCTGCGTCAAATAGTTGCTGCTCAGCACCACCATAGAAGTTGGTTATGTAGAATGATTTGAAGATAAATCATAATGATTCATATTATTTATGTTTGATAGGTAACTTAGAAAGTAGGAGTACAAGGAGGAAATGATGAACATATTTAATGGCCCAGGAAACCCTAGGCTGCCTCAGATTGGTGAAGTTCATGAAATGCCAGGAATGGATACACTATTTTTCTCTTAAGAGTTAATAAGAAAATGATGGGATGACAGTTACTGAGAGCTCTGGAGGATACAAATATCTGGACTTGTGGCAAACCTGGCTTTGATTCTGGATATAGATTCGGAACTGAACTGGTCGCTTTTGTGGATCACTTATGACAGGACTTGGAAGGAGATAGCACAGCTTTTCCTCTCCTGCTAGATCTCTTGGCACCCTTGGTATTATTGACCACAGTATCCTTCTGGACCAGCTGCAAGGGCTGGGAATTGGAACTATCGTAATTATGATACTAAAGCCTAAGAAACAAAGGATAAATAATAACATTTTATTGATTAGCCATGAGGCCATCTCAGAATAAAAAACACAGGACAATCATAAAACTATACATAACTAACAAACACAGGAGCTAGATGAATCCTGTCAACCAACTGCACTACCAACCAACTGCAGTAGTAATTGATAAAACA